CGACTGATTCAAGCTGATGGTCAAGCTGACTTTTGACTGAAATAACCACTCGTTACAACTAGGGTTGGGAATCGTGAGAAATTTTCCGGTTCCGGTTCCGATTCCGGTTCCGCCAAACGATTCCGGTTCCGGTTCCGGTTCCCATTCAATTAAAATTGTGTGTTCATTTCTTATAGTACTTGACAAATTAGTTTAACAGACTGGTAATGTAAACAAACTCAAAATATTATTAAGCAATCTTTGCAAAAAAAATTTGTGTATATATATATATATATATATATATATATATATATAAAGGAAATAAAAAAATTCTGCATTCTCTATAATAATTTAGACCTCTCCTTTAATGTATCTCCAACAGTGAAGAATACCCTCTCAGAAGGAGTAGAATATGCTTTAACACACATATGTGTGTAGAACAGATTATTTTTTAAAACGGTTTGAATGATTGATTCATTAAGACTTTACTTATTTCATTACTGGATAAATCGGCGCTCTAGCAGTTAATAAACAGAACTGCATGCGTCTTGCGGAAGAACATTGTTGCCGGAGCTACTTCTCTGTTTATGTCCATGACGAGTCACGCAGGCATTGGGCTACTCCGCAGCAGCTGCGATCCGCCGACCAGTCTAAACAAGAAGTCCGAGTATTAACGCTTATTACAGGCTTTACGTAGTGATTCAAGATAAGACAAAAACACGGTTTGTAAAAAAACATTATGATGCACTCGCTCATTGTATATATTTTGTAAATTCTGAACACAAAAAATATACGGACTGCATCTGTTTTGACCACTACCGTCAATGTTTACTCAAACTATAATCTCACTAATTCTGTAACGGAAATCATTTGAATATGTGAAACAAATAAATATTGAGACTGTGATTGTAAAGCAGTTTCATATCGACAACTGCTCTCTCTCTCTCAGCGCAAACAGATTTGAATGTAGGCTAGAGAGTGACTCGGCGGTCGGCGCGCGCAGCGTGCGTGTGTCTGTGTGTGACAAATGCAGCGCGTGTGAGAGCAAATCGCAACTTCAGTGGTGAAGTTTTTGTCATTTAGGAATAAGACGGCGTCTTCTACTCCCAGCACTTCGCCCACATGATGATATCGCATCGGCATCAGAACCGTTTTCGGAACCGAAACTTAGGAATTTTGCACGGTTCTGGTATTTTTTCAAAAACACAACCGGTTCTGGAAAAGAACCGGTTCTCGGTTCCCAACCCTAGTTACAACCGAGGTATTCAGCAAAGCATTTGTGAAGCCACAACACGCACAACAGCAAAAGACCCCACCGGGTACCACTCATCTCCACTAAAATAGGAAAAAGAGGCAACAATTCGCAAGAGCTCACCAAAATTGGACAGTTGAAGACTGGATAAATGTTGCCTGGTCTGATGAGTCTGGATTTCTGTTGAGACATTCAGATGGTAGAGTCAGAATTTGGCGTAAACAGAATGAGAACATGGATCCATCATGCCTTGTTCCCACTGTGCAGGCTGGTGGTGGTGGTGTAATGGTGTGAGGGATGTTTTCTTGGCACACTTTATGCCCCTTAGTGCCAATTGGGCATCGTTTAAATGCCACAGCCTACCTGAGCATTGTTTCTGACCATGTCCATCCCTTTATGGCCACCATGTCCCCATCCTCTGATGGCTACTTCCAGCAGGATAATGCACCATGTCACAAAGCTCGAATCATTTCAAATTGGTTTCTTGAACATGACACTGTTCACTAAAATGTCCCCCACAGTCACCATATCTCACAACGTCAATGACGTTTTAATTCTGATGATGGTATTGAGCCTACACAACTGACCATTATTCAAGTGGATTATAAGCAATTTGAGTCAAGCAATTATAATCAGCTGGTTTATGACATTTAGATTAATGCTAATGCATGATTACATGAACATGAAATCCAGATATCAGCGACCTTGAGTTGTGTTGCAATAACCTAGCAACATTCTTAAGTCAAAACACCCTGAACCTAGAAACTACATAGCAACATACGACAGAAGACTCAAAAGACCCTAGCAACTGCATAGAAACATGCCGAAGAGGACCGGTTCATTTGAGTAAGGTGTTTGTGCAATAGTAATGCTTGACTTGACCCTAAAGCAAGCAAGTAAATATATCCAACAAATCATTAGAAAATGTCAGTGTGTTTGACTAATGCCAAATCATCAGCACACAAGAGGTGACCAGCACACCATCACCATTTATTCTTTAAGTGCTTTCGGTCTGTGGTGTCTCAGATCAACAGAAAGCAGCCCACTCCAGGAACACACAGTCCGTCAGCCTCCATATGCCACCAGCCCACCGACCAAATGAAAAAAAACCTTATTAATAGATTCCCTGCCGAAGAGAAGTCACATCCCCACTGAGAGTAGTGTGTACAGAGCGCCGAATGAGTCACGCTGAGAATTCCTCCGGCGTCTTCAGACGATCGCATCACGACGGAGGATAGGTGTCTCTATTTTGAGTCACAGCAATCCCCGCAGAGCTGAGGCACGTAACTAATGCAAAGGCAGCGAGGCGGTGTGGCTGATGGACAGGGTCGGTCAAATGAAACGAGAAGGCTGTGAATTTAAGTACATGAAGCATCTTTGGGAGTAAGTAAGTGGGCAGCACACTGGTAAAGTCAGACGAATGCAAACTACGTTTTATCAGCATTAGAGAGACGAAATTCTTCTTCAGGATAAGAATTAGAATAAATGCCAGACGGAAAAAAACAGCCGCCACATGAGTTTGACAGAGAATATAAGGTCACCTCTCCGGATGATTCGGTTAACATCTGCTTATGACACCCTCACATCTTTGGAGGGTCCCTGGAGTTTGAGACGTAATTACACTCAGATGAGGTTTTGGATTCAATCAGAGTGAATATGGAAGTGGGAGAGAATATCAATAAAATATTTCAGCCGTGTGTGGTTAATGCTATAGGAAGCTATAAGATGCTGAGATCTTTAAAAATCATATTAATATTCTGTCCTTTGAATCTGAACGGTTTTGAAGTCTAAGATCTTAGTGATGTTAATCGTTTGATTTTGTTCAATAAAACACACGTTTGGGGTCAAAGTTTTGCTGGTTAACATGGTACAGTTAAAGGGATAGTTCACCCCCAAAATATCAATTGTTCCAAACCTGTATGAATTTATTTCTTCTTCAACCAAATGGTTGATTTGGCCCCATTGACTCCCATATTATGGAAGTCAATGGGGTCCGACAACTGTTTGGTTACCAAGGCAGACAAAAATCCATCACAGCACTTATTTTACAATTACAGGATTTGTGTTAACTTACTAATTTAAAGGAGTAGTTTAAATTTACTCACCCCCATGTCATCCAAGATGTCCACGTCTTTCTTTCTTCGGTTGAAAAGAAATTAAGGTTTTTGATGAAAACATTCCAGGATTTTCTCCATATAATGGACTTCATTGGGAACCAAACGGTTCAAGGTCCAGATGAGTTTCAGTGCAGCTTCAAAGGGCTTTAAACGACACCAGACGATGAATAAGGGTCTTATCTAGAACCCTTCGAGACATGATTCGAAAAAGGATTTGTTCATTTTGATGAACGAATTCGAACAGGAGAGTCACAAACGCTCATCACAGAACAGAGCAAGGCGAGCATTTGTGCTTATAAAACTTAAACTTTTTTATTTATTTTTTAAATGACCGATCGCTTCGCTAGATAAGACCATCATTCATTGTCTGGTGTCGTTTAAAGCCCTTTGAAGCTGCACTGAAACTCTCATTTGGACCTTAAACCGTTTGGTTCCCAATGACGTCCATTATATGGAGAAAATCCTGGAATGTTTTCATCATAAACCTTAATTTCTTTTCGACTGAAGAAAGAGAGACATGGACATCTTGGATGACATGGGGGTGAGTAAATTATCAGCAAAAGTTTTTTTAAAGTGAACTACTCCTTTAAGGATTTCAGAATTCATTCATTTAAAAGAATTGTTCAAAAAATAAACCAACAAAACCAAACGCCAAATAGAGCAGAAATCTCCATGCTAGAGCTGTTAACCTCCCATAAATACATGGTCCTGTAGATGATGAGATTATTCAGACAGATGCTGGTCTGCATTTCATCAGCCTTATGATGGGACTGCATGGAGCAATTATATAGAGCCATGTTTCACATACATAAAGACTAAATCATTATCCTTAGCAAAATAACAACCACTATAATCAAAAAGAGGGAGAGAATGCGAGGCAGAAAACAAGTTTGAGAGAGAGGAAGAAAAAAAAGCCCACTATGACGGCTGACAAGGGAAATTTTTAAGCACTTGTATTTATTTTATTATTTTTCGTTTCAGAGTCATTTGAGAAACAATGGTGCTCTGAGATGCAGTTATTTTGGGGATAGCTGACGCTAATTGGCAATGGGAGTGTTGGCTAGTCTCCCACTTTCAAAATAATTAGTAAAGCACACAGCACAATCTCACACATGGAATTAAACGAACCGCGCTGGAACCCTTAGCAACCTCTCTGCCTAAAGCGAAAAGGCAGAGATTTTGATAAGCTGTAGTGAGACAGAGCTGAGCTTCAGCGGTGAAGATCTCCCGTGGCCTCATGGGATTGTAAAGTATCCATCAAATGCACACTTATGTTTTTCGTATAGAAATAGGCATATTCGAGTACAGAGCTACAAAATGAATCTGGATAGCAGCTCAGACCATTTGTGATTGGAAAAATTGAAAGAGAAACATTGGCGTTCACACTGAGATCTTGGACTTTTGATTGCAGACTTATCTTAAGAGTTTTTGTGTAATCAACAACAAACTTGGCTCTCCGACAGAGCATTAAAGCAGCCAGCGATGACAGGGAGAGTCAATCTCAGTTCCATTCAACTCCATTCGGAAAGACAACAACACGAGAGCCCATTAATATCACGACAGCTTTCATGTAGAGAGTGCAACAAAACAAATGTCATCTTCTCGTTTTCCGAAATGAAACATAATTCAAACTGTTCTTGCATCCTCCACAGGACTTCTGGTCCAGCGACATGAACAAGATGAAGAACTTCAAGAGGCGTTTCTCACTTTCCGTGCCACGAACAGAGACGATAGAGGAGAACGAGTTCACCGAACAGATCAACCAGCTTAACATTTGCTGCAATGACGGTACGGCTTTCCTTTCAACATCCATATCTCCCATTCAAACTCTCCCATTCAGTCTGGATATCTGGGTCACAAAACCCATTGAAATAAACAAGACTTAAATATGTTATTATATGGATTATATCTGATGCTGCCACTACAGTGATAAAGTGCTCCTTATTGATCCACTTGAAGCATCAAGTATATTTATTTTACCCAGAAAGATGCCAAAAAAAAAGGTCTTAATCCATAAAGAAAGGGCACCATGTGGCGCAGTGAGAATGAGTGTCTGAAGTTGAAAATAAATGAGGATAAGGGTAGATAATATACCATAATCACAGATAGTCCTATCCAGGCAGGATTCGATTTCTCAAAGGATGCATGTGTAAGCCAAAAAACACAGACATGTTAGATTTTGAAGGGATTAAAAATATAATAATTCTGTAAAACACAAAACTACAGTAGTCATGTCCAAACAGGGCTTTAGTCTAATCCTACAATATGAACTGTTTGTGTTTCATTATTTCATGCATAATATAATGAAATCTATAATGAAAAATAATTCTTAAAACAACTTCAGACCAGTTTTTTTTAATCCTTTTGTGGGGTTTTTAATTTAATAAATCCAGAAAATTGCATACTCCACACTTTTAACATACGTAATGTGATATTTTCAGGCAAAACAGAATATAAAATAATAATGATCAAAGAACAATGAAGATTAGCTCTCTTATACCGGCAGAAGTGTGAAAGGATTGTCTAATGAGAACAATACATTTTTATAAGCCTTCTCTAAAAACACACTTATGTACACACACCATGCTGCCTTGGGTCATTGGGTCGGAAAAGTTGTTTCAGAGGTGGAACAAGTACCACATTGTGATTAAAAGACAACGCTGCTCCTTTAAAATCAACTAAATACATTCAAAACGATTTTAGCAATATTGTTTTCCAGACTTCATGGCACTGGATCCTGCTCAAACAGAAAAATATAAATGATGCTGATTAACAGCAAGAAAGCCACAATTAACCCAGAGAGATATTCTCCACTTATTTTGAAATTGGGAAATGAGCAAATCCAATATATATACACCTTACTGTTTAAAAGTGTAGGGTAAATAAACTCCAGTAGTTTAACTAACCCTTCAAGTCCAATAAAGGCATTCAAACCCTATTGAAACTTTTTTTTAACTTTGTTAAGAAAGTAAATAGTGTCAGTTTTAAAGCCAACTGAGGCTAACTTGTCTAGATTTGAAGCCCTTTGGAATGTTCTCATATGGCATGGGATCTCACAAAGATGCCGGAGAGTGAGAGAACCATACGAGTTTGATAACCTCTTTAAAGAGATGGAAGAGAGATAAGTCTAGAGGCCTGTGAACCTGCTAGTGATGGGGACGAGACCGCCTATGCTGAGTCTGAGTCAAGAACGAGTCTTTGAAGGGTCGAATCTGAGTCGAAACCGAGTCTTTAAAGGGTTGAGTCAGAGTCAAGACCGAGTCTTTGAAGGGTCGAGTCAGAGTCGAGACTGAGTCCGTTGGTTTTCAAATACAGTCGAGTCCGAGTCAAGACTGAGTCTTTGAAGGGTCGAGTCCGAGTCAAGATCGAGTCTTTGAAGGGTCGAGTCAGAGTCGAGACTGAGTCCGTTGGTTTTCAAATACAGTCGAGTCCGAGTCAAGACCGAGTCTTTGAAGGGTCAAGTCCGAGTCAAGATCAAGTCTTTGAAGGGTCAAGTCCGAGTCAAGACCGAGTCTTTGAAGGGTCAAGTCCGAGTCAAGACCGAGTCTTTAAAGGGTCGAGTCCGAGTCAAGATCGAGTCTTTGAAGGGTCGAGTCCGAGTCGAGACAGAGTCCGTTGGTTTTCAAATACAGTCGAGTCCGAGTCAAGACCGAGTCTTTGAAGGGTCGAGTCCGAGTCGAGACAGAGTCCGTTGGTTTTCAAATACAGTCGAGTCCGAGTCAAGACCGAGTCTTTGAAGGGTCAAGTCCGAGTCAAGACCGAGTCTTTGAAGGGTCGAGTCCGAGTCGAGACAGAGTCCGTTGGTTTTCAAATACAGTCGAGTCCGAGTCAAGACCGAGTCTTTGAAGGGTCAAGTCCGAGTCAAGATCGAGTCTTTGAAGGGTCGAGTCAGAGTTGAGACCGAGTCCATTGGTTTTCAAATACAGTCGAGTCCGAGTCAAGACCGAGTCTTTGAAGGGTCAAGTCCGAGTCAAGATCGAGTCTTTGAAGGGTCGAGTCAGAGTTGAGACCGAGTCCATTGGTTTTCAAATACAGTCGAGTCCGAGTCAAGACTGAGTCTTTGAAGGGTCGAGTCCGAGTCAAGATCGAGTCTTTGAAGGGTCGAGTCAGAGTCGAGACTGAGTCCGTTGGTTTTCAAATACAGTCGAGTCCGAGTCAAGACCGAGTCTTTGAAGGGTCAAGTCCGAGTCAAGACCGAGTCTTTGAAGGCTCGAGTCCGAGTCAAGATCGAGTCTTTGAAGGGTCGAGTCCGAGTCGAGACAGAGTCCGTTGGTTTTCAAATACAGTCGAGTCCGAGTCAAGACCGAGTCTTTGAAGGGTCGAGTCCGAGTCAAGACCGAGTCTTTGAAGGGTCGAGTCCAAGTCGAGTCCATTGGTTTTCAAATACAGTCGAATCTGAGTCAAGACCGAGTCTTTGAAGGGTCGAGTCTGAGTCAAGATCGAGTCTTTGAAGGGTCGAGTCAGAGTCAAGACCGAGTCTTTAAAGGGTTGAGACCGAGTCTTTGAAGGAACAAGTCTGAGAAGAGTCCAAGAAAGCAGAAATCGGTCTCTACATCACAAGGACCTGTGACGGTCTGGAGAAGATGAGAAGGGAAAAGGATTCTGACTCTCCAGCGTCTTCGCTCTTCACTCACAAATTGCACTGATTATCATTGAGCCTACATTATTAATGCAGAGGTAATAGCACTATTCTGCTCTGCTGTCAGGCTCTATGGTCTTAACACTGTCTCCAGTCAATATTAAATCGAATTTCAAGGGAGAAAATACAAGTAGGACCACTTTAAGAATTTAAGACCTGCGGTCTTACAATATAAATCGATAATACTTGTTATTGCCTGGTCTGTATCTTATTTAACTCTAAAGAATAGGTCTTTATACTCTTTATTTTGAATTCCAATCAACTTCATGTGAACAAAAATGCACCATTTTATGGTAACTGGGAGCAAGCAAGTTCATTTTCTTTCTTAGCTGGATTTGTCTGGCATATATGAACACAGAAATTGTGCTTGGAACCACAAACAAACGGTTTGTCCATTTGACGGGAATGCAAAAATTCCTAAGATGGTTTCAGGTATTTTTTGGTGTAGATCCCGGTCTCATTGTCATCTCAGTCTGATTTACTGTGAACTCTGAATTGTATGCCAAACATTTGAAGGATGGTGTATCGAGCCCGACCGATAAAGGATTTTGAAGGCCGATACCGATACAAATATTTGTTGGTTTTAAAATCCGATATTCCGATATTTTTTTTTTTTTTTATTACAGAAACGCACAACAAATCATTAACAGATTTCCCTAACATTAGTTATTTATGAGTTTTAACTAAAATATGTTAATGCATTTTAAAAAGGAACTTGTTCCTTTTATTGTCACAACTGAGGAACATCAAAATATATTAAAGTTCTGATAAATAAAATAATAATTAGTCCCTACATTGTCTTATAAGCTACCTTATAATTACAATGTCAGCTTGCTTATCCCTTTACCTGCACTTTTTAAATTCTTTCCATCAAGCTACAAGCTACATCAACCATTTCCAATCATCTTCTAAAACCTACTATTTAGCGATTCTAAATGAAGCGTGTTTTGTCCGTTCTTATTTTATTTTTGAAATATTAATTTATCGGACATTATAACTGCCGATACCGATAGTTTGGAAAATGCCTAATATCGGCCGATAATATCAGCCTGCCGATAAATCGGTCTGGCTCTAATAGTGTAAACAGCACAGACATTCTGACCAATGAGAAGACATGTTGTCCAGACAGTGAAAATAAATTAAACCAAGGAGAAAATGTTACAATTTAGAAACAAATACAAACAAATTAGAGCTCTGAAAATGCCCATAGCGAACCCACAAACAGTAACTGCAGGTTAGTGGCATCAAATCAGATAAATCCACCGCTAAACAGCATGCAAAACCAAAAGAAACTATCTCTCCTCCTGTCTAAGCTAGCGGTTCTTGGTCCGAACAGGCCGCACGGTGAATCTGACTTTGTTGAAAGTCAAAAGTCTGGTCACACACGACCGAATAAACTCATACTCAGAATTGAAACTGGGTGATGAACCCTCGGCCCATGGCAGGACGGGGAATTGGACCTGGTTGAATGCTGGGAACAAAACATTTGTTTGGGGAGCACTCAGGCTCCTCAGCTGTCTGTCTGAGGCAGATGTTTCCACAACGCCCCATTTTCCCCCCAACACGCACCAGCTGCTGTGATTGGCTGAGGGTGCGGGACGCTGTTACTTCCTCCACCCCCAGGAGAGACGGCAGCGGTGGAGACAGCTGGAGTTTGGAAGGAGAGAGCGGATCCGAAAACGCAAGAGCGGTTTTCTTTTATTTACCCCGTCCCCTCCCCTCCAGCTGCAAATGAACCTCCAAACCAAGCGTGGAGGGAGAGACGTCTGCAGGCCGGGATGGGAAAAGGCGTCGGAAGCGCACACGCTTCGTTCCAATTTACTCGCCTATATACCTAAGATTGTTAAAACTCAATTAACGGCAAGGTTAATGTGGAAGAAACCGATCCGAGTCACGTTAGGGAGTCGGACCTCACATTTCCTCCCTGCCAGCGCGTCCACCCCCATTATCTCGTTATATTTGTGATGTATCGCTGATGGAGGTGCAACAGAGTAATTCTCCATGGAGAGACACCCATGATGGAGTCATCACGCAAATGTTGGCAGCAGTCTTTTAGTTAACAAGTGTTTCTTGATTACCACAAAGATGTACGCTTTATTTAAAGATAATGCTTCCAAAATGGCTTTTCGACAGATTCCTTGGAGGGTTC